AATAGGGCTGTCGCGATAACCGCAATATCGCAATACCGCGCTATTGACGAGCAAACCGCAGAGGAATGCAAGAACCGCAGCAACCGCGATTTTTCCGTGTTTTATTTTTTCGTAAGGTTATGCCCTTCTCGTTTTACACTTCATGCATGTGGACTGAATATTAAACAAGTTAGTAATGATAACATAATGTGTACCATGCTGATTTGTACAGAGGCTCCGTAGATTTGCACTTAACAAGCCTACACAGACATTGAATGAGAGCGAGATCGACTGAGCGCGTACGATTACTTGCGTCTGTCCTCCAGGCCTAGTCATATATATTTGTGAAAATAGGTTGTCATGTCCAAGGAAAGCGAAATCTCTTTCTTAGCATCGACGCATAGCTGGTCAGCTGAGCCTTCTAAAGTGGCGCTCAAAGTTAAAATGATTTCAACAGTGTGTTTCATTACGTCTCTTTGAATGAATGAATAAGCGTTTTTGAACGTGTAGTTGAATGACAACCACCCCCTTGTGGCGCAACACTGTAACTGCACTGACTGACAGCCCGTCTAGAAAGCACGCAGGGGGAAATATCCGTCCAGTCAGTCAGATTACAACTAGGCTAACTGTTATGCATATAGGCTAACGATAGCCTAACGATCTTATCGATCTTATTATGTTCTGTTATGTGGACCGTTATTTTGTCATCCTCTTCTGTTTACTTCACTTCCTGTTTCAACACTATTTGGTTATGTATATGGCGATAATACCGCATACCGCGCTATTGAGCCACTCAAAATTACCGCAAGGGAAATTCCCTCACCGCGACAGCCCTACGGATAACCTCAGCTTTCGGTTCCAAAATCGGAGGTTACTTTCAGGGTATGAAAGTAACCATAGTAACTTGCTCTCTGAAGATAACCTGCAGGTTATGTTCCAGGGTTTGTTCACTTCAGAGCCATCAGCACACGCGTGACCTACTGACGAGCCTTCAGTGGGCGTGACAGATAGCGCACAACATTATATATTAC